ACAATCCAAAACAGGCTGGCCTATTCAAAATTACTGAGGAAATGCAGAAGAGGGGACCCTACCCTCAGAGACCTCAGATAAACAGAAGCGGAATAGAATAAAGACTGCTGGTAACCTTGTGTAATGTAGGTTAATTCAAGATAGAAAAAATAGGATGGATGTGAAAGAAAAAAAATCCAGTTTTCAACCTAACAGTTCAATCCCTACATGACTATTGCTGCAGATTTGCCACAAACTGTTTCCAATCTCATTGCTTCCAAGTTGGTGAGTATATCCTACTAATACCAGTTGAGGCCTATCCTCCATATACCAGGTGTCATATTGCAAGCACTTAAATGCCATCTAGTCGTAAGTCTAGAAGTTGGATATTTTATCCTTCCTCTTTCTTCTTAAACCTTATTTAATTCCAACTAAACCAGTTTAACAAAGGAAGATGGACAGATGGCTGCAGCACACAAACCAAACAGGTTGTGGTGGAATTCGGGAACACCAACTATTGTACCGTGAACCATCAATAAATAAATCAGGCTGGGTTAAATTTGACATTTGACTTTAACTGGGAATTATTACAAATTATTACAACCCAGTTTGAGTTAAGAATAGTAAATAACTTGCTCCCAGGAAAAGAACCGTGAGGAAGCCCCGAGGCACAACAGCCTTTTTTTAGGGGACATAATTTCTACATTTAACAGTAACAAAATAAAATAAACATCATTTTTCCAAAGAAGGAAAGAGAAGACTTTGAAGTAGACTTCAGAGATGGGAGTCGTCATATTGTTTGAAATACATGGAGGAAAATGGAACTTTGCACTTTAGTTCTGTTCAGGATGTTCTGCATGGCTTTGCGATTTTAAAAAAGTTGTGTCATTTTGATTTGTTCCTAAATTAAGCTATAATGCCACATATCGTCTTTGCAGTGCAGCATTTTCAAATAACAGCTGTTGGACCTCACAAGAAAAAAAAGGTTCTGCACCAAGTCATCAGAGGAACCAAAGCTCACAAAAAAAAGAGAAAGAACCTCACAGCTGACTACAGAGTATGTAATTGCTTTAAACAAGACAAACCTTTTCATTAGGACCAATGATCATGGAATGGCCCATTCGGAGTCTCATCATCAATCTTAGATGTGTTTCATACACATACTGTTTGAAAAACCTGCTCTGAGTTTACGCTCAAAACTGTTAACCAGTAACAACATGAGCCCCATCAGGAGGTTGGAACACAACTTGTAGGCCAAAAATATATAATGAGGCTGGAAGACCTTATTTCAACCCAGAGGCAACTTTCTTACAAAACAACTGACAAAGAGAGAAATGCTGATGAAACTGGGTGGAAAACATGCCACTGAGAGAAACTTTTTAATTTATCTTTCTATAGTACCCATTTTTTTTTAAGAAAAAAATGTTTTGTTTTGGTTTTAGTTTTAAATTGAAAAACTATTTTCTTTATTTTCAATTCAAGTCTCTTTTATGCAACTTATTGATTCGTTAAACAGTCTGTTCATTTTCTGTTCCCTTTAAGCTTCTTTTTTCAATCTAAAGCTTTAATTTAGTCTATTTGCGTTAAATGTTTCTCTTGTACTTTATTTGATGTTTATTTTTCCTCATTCCTTAACCCCTTGCTCACACTGGCTCCGGTGCGGTTACCGAGCCGACGGAGACCGCAACTCCCGCACACCCCCTCTCACACCGCCCTTTTGACTACGGTGCGGTGCGGCTCTGCGGCTCCGGCAACAGGTCCAGAGATTTAACAGAAGTTCACTTGAGTTCACGTAACTTCACTCGATAACACGGCCCAAATAAGGATATTTGCGAGAGCTTGTTGCGGAGGGCTCCGGCACGCCGCAAGGATAGCTTTCTTGCGGAATTTTCTGCAGCGCCGGAGTGTCTCAGTAACCGCAGCCGGACAGCTCAGCAGCCGGTGAGAGAGGTTAACGTCTTTTTAATGACTTGGAATCACTGCGGCGCCGCACCCACCGCACCGCAACGGTAAGACCGGAGTCGGTGTGAGCCTGGGGTAATACAGCTCCATAAAACCTTCTTCAATTTACATCTGTTTGGAAGAAAGAATGACTGGTTCTAATTTTTTTATATATATATTTTTTACTTTAAAACTGACGCACTAAAACCATAAACAATAAAAAAAAACTGACAAAATAAAATATGAAGAAATAATCTCACATTTTTCACTTATGTATTATGTGAAAACCTCAGTTTGCATTTTACGGATTTTTGATTTTCTAAATCATGGGAGGAAATAAAAGAGCATCCTTAAGGGTAATTCGTATTCTAGTTCCAGTAATGGAACACTCTCAGGGAACCTTTTATCTAGAAAAATGTTTATGAAATTTCCAAAAACACTCCAGTAGAGAGCTAACTAAAAATAACGTCTGCTATTTTTTCTTTATATGGGCAATCCTGCTGTGGCATTTTTATACAACAGCTGTTGCACCTCACAGAAAACCAACGGCCTTGATGACGTGTTAAGAGTTTATTACAAAGCAATTGTAGACACCAAGGGTTTATCGAAATATTTTTCTTCATGCCTGGTTGTTTACTTATTAAATCCTCTAATATTTCCAGTACTTTACATCAGGGATGCAAAGCGTCAAACAGCAGGGACCTGCTGGAGCAGACAGATCTAATATAACACCAACATCTGAAGCTGGCGCTGCTGCATCATCTGATTATGTCAGAGGAACCAATCTTAACGTCCACGGAAGAAATTAAAATGAAAAGAACTGGGAAATTATAATGACATTAGACGTGCTGTTGGTCCTAACCGTTTTAACTGCTAACATTTTATATCTATATCATTATTAAATCATTTTATTTTCAGCCTTAGGATATAAAAATAATCCATTGGCTAATTCTAAATAATGTACAGGATTTGACAATCCTCTTTAATGGCCATGTATACCAACATGAATAAATAGAAAGTCCATGAATTAAAAGTTTAAAGTCATAAATTAGAAAAGTTGGTTTATATTAAAACATGATTTGATTATTTATTAATTCATACATTTTTTTTCTAGTTTCTGATTATATAAGTTTACCTTTTTGTTTATTAATTTGACTTCTCTGTAGATAATCTGCAGCTCTGTTGAGAGGTCATCAGCCATTAGTATCTTAGCAACTGCAGAAAATGATCATATATGCATTTGGAAAATGAATAAATAAAAATAATAATAATAAATGATATAGAAATAGAATCCCCGTTCCAGAAAGATTTTCAGTCAGCAATTTTACTTTGACCACAAGAAACAAACAAACATAAAACACTCCTTCTAAACTTCTAAACGAAACCTAAAAGTACGAAACCTATATTTTCTGTAGTAAACATTCATTATTAGCCAGCAGACTGCAAAATATATTCATAACTGCAACTACAGTTATATAGATATAACAGCTGGGATTAGTCTGAGACACATTTTGTGGAATTATTCCACCTTTAAGCTTTATATTTGCTTATATCCACAGCATAACAGAGATAAGAGAGAGGGCAGAGAATAAAATATCTAGTGCTTTGGATGAGTAATTTCATAATGTGTTGGTGGCAGAGGGCTCCATCATTTCTAAATAGCAAATAGCCCCATTCACTTTAATGCCTTATTTTTGCCATTGACTCTAACAACTCAATTTTATGTCAGATCATTTACCAAATCAGATGCAGAGTGTTGTAGGGGCTGGACAGATGCATTCAGAATGTCAAAACAAAACAGATGCAGGTGCTCCAGGCTACCTCTAAAGGTGGTCGGTAGAAAAACGTCTTTAATGTGTGCTGAGTTTTTTTTGGCTGTCTGTACATGACCTAGTTAATCAGGAGGGATGTTTAAGGCAGCTGTGAATAAGTCCACAGACCTGCTTCTCATTCTATCAATTAAAAGTCAGTTATAGCGATAATAAATAGCAACACTGTGTTTTTCCAATTTTGATTTGTTTAAAATTAAATATTTATAAATACTCATTTCATTTATGCTTAATTTGGATTAGTTAAAGGGACAACTTTGATATCTCCAATAGCACATTGCATGCATCTGCATAAAGTAATGAATTTAAAACTCTATTCTCAACCCTGATCTTTCCTTTTATCACTGAGATAGGGTGCTGAAGCTTTCTAGCAGTCCAATGTCAGGAGATGAAGCCTCTGATTCCTCCTGCATCTTTAAACATACACATATTTATTACAATCAAAATCCATTAGTGAAACAACACAGATAGAGTGAACGACAGGTGGGAAAAAAGTGAGAAAAATCAACATCTGTGTGAGTTTACCCCTCCAGCTCAATTTTCTGCATGTGAATAGGTGGCTTCTTATGTCTGCATCCCAGTGCAACATAAACTGAACCATTATTTTTGAAAGACAGCAAAAAACAAACAACTTAATCACACCTTTTATAAAGCTGTGAGAACTCTCTGCCTATCATCCCTAAACTTTTCAGCCAATTATCTACCCTGTTAATACTACCGTTCTTGCCTAGATAAAATAAAATATATACTTTCTTCCTTCATGCTACCTCCTCTCAGAGTTATCTTGTTTATGGAAGCCCTTTTTCCACAGTGTAGCTTTGATGATTTGGACATTAATATGAGTTGTGGTATTAGAATAGCTCTCCATGCCCTTACAGCCAGTTTTCTCTGTGTAGCATCTAGGTTAGAGGTTTTAAAACAACATTAGAGAAAAGAAGCAATTTCAAACATGTTTCTGTTAATCTGACCTGAATATTGTTTATTCATCCAATGTGTGGCCAGTGATGTCTGTGGACTCATTTTACTGTAAAATGATCTTTGAAGAAGTTTTGGAATCCAAAAACAACTCTTTAATAGCTTGATGAATAATGAATGAACCACGCGAAGACCAATTTCCTCGGCCCGGGAAATAAGAGGAAATAAATTATGCAAAGTTCTTAATCTCTGATTTTAGAGAACATTCTGCCATCAGTGTCGTGGTAAAGCACTTTGAGGACAGCGGTGAAGCACCCAGCGGAAAGTCGCACTTACCAAGACTTTGAGGGCTGGCCTCGTGCTCCTGGATCTTCACGTGTCTAGCTCCAGGAGGAATATGAAACATCTTAAGGTAACCTTTCAAAGTTTGCAGTGGCAGCAGAAGCGGGGAGGTTAGAAAAGATGAGAGGAGACAGAAAAGTTAAGCAGATATGGAAACAAACTGTTTGCTTGCAGCGGTGGACATCAGCCTTTTGCAGAATTTTTCCTCACTTTGCTTTTAGCAGCGATGTTTGAAGAGGGAAAGGGGAAGTCGTGTTAATGTACCTCATACAAATAAATGAAAGTATCATTGAAACATGGCCAAAGAGGTTTAAAAAATCCATATGCTACAAGCTGTAAATGAATTGCCTCTTTATTGATTGGGCCACTGTTTCAATGAGGGATGATTAAAGGGTTATTCTACTCTATATACTACAGATCCAACAAAGTGGCCTTCTGCTGCAGATGTCCACCGCTTGCAAACCCGCCGCCACTCACCCAACACATTTCTAGACTCCTCTGTCTCATTTAAAAACACATTTCGAGCTCCTTTAGGCAGAGAAAAGGCTCCTCTGGTCTTCCCTTCAAGAAGAAACAAATCAGTTAGTCATCATTTCATTGTCTCTCTCGCTTGGAAGCTACACACTGTGGAAGCACATTTATAATGAGCGAATCAGGGACTGGAGGAATTCACAATAAATGAGGTGGTAAACAATTTTCTGCTGCCAGTCACCGGGAGGAGGGGGGCGGACTTATGTGCAATTGCTCATCCTCAGATTTGACTGAATGGACCTGACACTCTAGAAGCAGCAGGTGAGTCTGAGGTGATTATGAATGCGACTGGAGAGATCACTCAAGGTTATAGAAGTCGTTGGTAGGTGTTTAACTTTCAAGGCTCCAATCAAACTTTCTAAAATAAAAAAGAAGTAGAAAGGAAGAATTCTGGAGGACATCTGAACAACAAGCCCAGTGGTGGAAATAACATTTTGATTAAAAGCTTTATTGTAGATTGAAAGAAAGACTCTTGTCTTAAATTGGCTCTGTGGATGTGACTCATTGGACTGAACAGAGCATCAGTGTGCCCGTTAGGTTTTAGTGAATCATACTGTGAATGGCCAATTACATGGTGGATTGCTTCCAAAGGTCAGTAGCCTGGTTCAGAGTGACATTTCTAACTCCAAAAATGCCCCCCCCCCGTCCCAACAAAAAAACAAGAAGTAAACTACGTTTGGTAGACTGGGGACATTTCCACATCAGACATTGACATTAAAAGCCACACAACTCATAACAAACAACATCTTCTACCTATAATGAGCCCATAACATTAAAACCAAAGCAGACACTTAATTAGTTTACAGGGGGCAGAAGAAACAACAGTTTATGACACTGATTTCTTCAGATATCTACAGAGTTAGACATCCATCTGCACTACAAGATGGCAGCAGGGATACTTGCATATTGAGTTTTCCACCAGAGGGGAGTCATTTTGGGCCCTCTTGCTCAATTGTTTTCCTGTAAAAAAGTTGGGTTTAATAAGAAGTGAGTGGTAAGAAAAAAAAGGCCAGAAATTATTTCAAAGCATCTTCACATTGAGCCTGTTAGAAGGCTCAGATGTTTTTTATTGATAGATGAACTTCCATCTTGGAGCCCTCTGGATGGAACAGGCTGCTGTCAGGAATGGGTGGAAATGCATTAAAGTTATTTATTTATATACGCAGCTGAAGGGGAGAAAACTTGTTATAAGAAAAAATGAGGCACCTTCCTTTTCTGCTTATTGAGAGCTCAACAGGAAAGAGTTTCTCTCTTGAAGAGACTTTCTAGTTACTTTAATTTGTACTTTTTACATGTTTGTGTGGAGCTGAAAATAGAAAACACTCTACATGAAGAGGTTTAAACTATTAATGTTTAAAGGAAAGCTTAAGCATGATTCTTAAAGAAATTGCAGGTTTATTAATACACACAGTGCGCCTTTATTATACATGCAAATATATAAAAACAGTGATTTGACTAAAAACAAACCATTAAATCACTTTAAACATTTCTCCAAATGGGCTCATTTTTAGGTTTTATGCAAATTTAGTTTTATGTCCCTGAGGGCTTCCGGACTTTTACCCGATGTTATAAGAAATAACATCATGGTGTGATAAGCCTGAACATCAGCCTAATTTCATTAAAATGCATCAGATTTCCTAAAAGCATGTTTCATATTTGATATTTCAAAGAAACAATCAATATAAATATGGTTAACTCTAAACACCTCACAATATACCTTCTGGACTTTTTTATTTTATTTTTTCATCTTGTCATGTAACAAACTGAAATATTAATATATTTAATTTGGATTTTTTTTGTATGAAAGACAAACACATAAAAATAACCCTTCTTGAGTGCTTAACATATAACTCTAAAGCAGATGAAAAATAAGAAATAGCTAAGAAAAATAATTCTAAAACAAAAAACACACAGAAAATATTTATATATTTATATGTATCTAAATATAATATATATATATATATATATATATATATATATATATATATATATATATATATATATATATATATATATATATATATATATATATATAAATACACATCTCTCTCTCATATATGTGTATATATATATATATATATATATATATATATATATATATATATATATATATATATATATATATATATATATATATATATATATATATATATATATATATGCAGTTATCTTTGAATTAATATTGTGAAATGAAGCCTGGTGTGATCACATCAACTAATTAGACCAAGTCAAAAATATAGTTTTAGAAATTTTAAGTAGCAAAAATCATGAAAAGTGGGGCATGTTTTTTTTTTATTCACTCCTGTAATTCATCATTATCCACACAAACCCTTTTAGTTTCAATGTGTTCCTTTTGAGAGTATATTGTACATTGTCTTTTTTATTTATTTGAGATAACATTAAGTTAAATGTAAATCTAGATGAGCTAGCCAATATGCTAATCCTCACTGACACTCACTTGGCTTGGTTTAAAAAAAACAAAAAACTTAATAAATATATAAATACAAACAACACATAGCAGAATATTTAAATTAAAAGTAATACTAATACAAAGACTAAATTATAACAAATCAACTGTGTTTATTTTCACTGCATTTACAGTCCCTGAGTTTCTGTTAGAAGCCGCAGAGAATCTTTTGAAATCTAACCTTTTCCCTGTTCTTCTTTGTAAAATAGCACAATTTCATATAAGATGGAGAACATCTCTGGGCATCGTTTTTAAAGTCTTCATAACCCTCTGTGCTGTCAGCTGTTCAGGTTCCACATGGATGCTCTGGCTGGCCGTCTCCAGCCCAGTGAGTCTGTATTTATTTTGCTCAGTGCTCTTCCCTGATGTACCGTATTTTCACGACCATAAGGCGCACCGTACTAAAAGGCGCAGTCTCAGTTATGTGTCCCATTTCTGTATTTAACACACACATAAGGCGCACCGGACTATAGGGCGCATTTTTTATATACAGGTACATGTCCTCTACTACCTTTAAATACCTCTACTGCGTATTTAAAAATACTGCGGGGGCAAAACTGAGTATGACTGTGCTTTATTCATGTATTTATAACAAAGTATTAATCAAACCTGGCAGCTGGCCGTGAGACAGACACATCGCAGATGACACAGCGCTGTGATCACTCCTAAATTAACTTAAAATCCTGAAACCTGCCGACGGAATATGTTCGCTTTTATTACCGGTATCCTGGTGCCTGCAGTTAAAATTATTTAGATGAAAAACACCTGCCAGCAGCCGCGGTGAAGCAGCCTCCAGGCTGGGCAGCCTGGAGGCTGCTTCCGCCTCCGACAGAAATAGATATCAGGTGGACTTTCTCACTTAGAAACATATTAAAACTACTTTATTCCCACTGATCACAGCAAATATAGCTGCAAGATTTAGATTATTTAGATGAAAAAACACCTGCCAGCCACCGCGGTGAAGAGGAGGAGACCCGCCCAGAGGCTGCTGTTGAATTAAGTTTTCAGGTAGAAAAATAGAGCGGGAGCAAAACTGAGTATGATTGTGCTTTATTCATGCATTTATTACTAAGTATTAATCGAACCCATCAAAGTCATCATCCTCTGTTTCTGAATTAAACAGCTGCGCTAAATCAGACATGCCAATTTCCCCTTTGCTGTCAGAGTCACTTTCCGTGCAGCGCGGCTCTTCAGAAATAATGCCGGCTTTTGCAAAAGCTTGAACAACAGAGCCAGCAGAGACGTTAGTCCAAGCATCTACAATCCATCTGCAAACGGTGGCGTAACTTGCCCGGCGCTGCCTTCCACTTATCCTAAAACTGTGGTCTCCGTCTGTCATCCATCGCTCCCACGCCGCTCGCAGCCTTACTTTGAACGGCCGCTTCACACCGATGTCGAGCGGTTGAAGTTCCTTTGTCAGACCCCCCGGGATAACGGCGAGCACAGCGTTCATTTGATTCACCTTTTTTTTCACATCGGCTGTGAGATGGGCACAGCCACATCATCTCCTCATCCATCCAGCCCTTTTCATTTGCGTTAATATCATATGTCATCAGAGCGCTGTGTCTGTCTCGCTGTCAGCTCCCAGATCAGCTTCTCTGATTGGTTGATGCGGCGCGTCCAGCAGCAAAACTTCAATTTTTCCATCTCGAGCAGCAGCAGCGCGTTGGCTGTGCGTCAGATGCTTAAACGCTTCCCGACGTGCTGCACCTGCTGCTCAAAACGCGCTGCGGGACCTTTTGCTGCACCTATACGCGCGTCAACCATTGACTTGGCATGTAAACTCGCTGCTTCTGCTGCACCTGCTGGGTCCGGTTCACACCGATGTCGAGCGGTTGAACAGCGAGCACAGCGTTAATTTGTTTCCCCATGTTTTTCACATCAGCTGTGAGATGGGCACGCATGGAGTTACAGATTAACAGCGATGGTGATGAGTGGAAAAAAAACACCTGGTCTCCTTACATTCAGCCACTCTTTCATAATCTCCTCAATGAGGTGGTCTCAAAAGTCGCAGTTACAACACACATAGGGCGCACCGCACCATAGGGCGTGTTGTGTATTAATCTGTACTAATCATAAGATAAAATAAAGTTAATGTTTTATAAGTTTAAAGTTGTTTTCCCAAAAACTGTTATAAGAGCAATTCGGGGCCAAAAAGGAGAGAAGCAGAGTGAGTGTGTGTATCAGCTGCAGCTGAGAGTGAGATCTACAGGACAACGCAGGGTTAAGGCCCCTTAGTGATAAGAAAGTACCCGCAATAAAAATGAAATATTTGACATCTCAAGGTAGTCCAGCTCAGCAAAAATCTGGCCATACAAAGGAGTTGTTATTTTCAAAGCACACGGAGCAGTAATGGTCCCATAAAGGGTGATGAGACGAAGGGGGAGCAGTATGGTAGATTGACATGGTTTGAAGCAAGGGCTGACATGTTTTTGACTAAACCGTCATAAGTTTCTGATTTGAATGCACCAGATGTTTTCATGGCCTGAGAGAGTGCTCTCACAAGAATGAGATGTGTCTATGAATGTCACTGTGTTTTGCAGATAAATATCAATGTGACCTTTACCAATGACTGAAATATGTTCTGAAGGGGGTTTTTCCACCGATAAGAAATGTATAAAAGGGAGCTGGTTTCACCATTTGTCAGCTTCGGCTCACCAGCTTTGTGTAAATGTGTAGTGTTTAGCAATAAACACTGGACCCGGACTCAGCTGCCCTCTGTCTGAATTTTTTGATCTTTGTTTGAGACTTTTTCTGCTTTTTAAGAACTTTGAATTTTTATAAAACTTAGCTTCAATTTTAAGTCGTCAAGAAGAGAATTATAGGACGACAGGCGCACCGCACATTTTGAGGGGAAAAAAAGACGTTTAAGTGCGCCTTATAGTCGTGAAAATACGGTACTATGAGGTCCCTCAGGGATTAGACATTTGAGATGGAGACAGGCCCCTGCTCAGCTGGATCCATACTGTTCTTATCAAACGGTCCCCATTTGGCTGCTGGTAAGGACTTTGACTAGGCCATGCCAACACATCAATATAGTCATGTGAAAGGTTCTAGCCCCAATCTCCAGTATGTCACAGCAACAAAGCAGCATCACATGGGGGATATCAGCCTGTGGCTAAAAGTATCTGATGTGATGAGCAATTTGAGCTCTATTAGAGACATTCAACTTATCTGTATTGTCGACTTAGTTATCTCTCATCTTCCTCTGTACAATACGCAATAGATTGTTTATGGAGTTTAAGCCAGCCTAATTTAATGGTCAATCCAACCAAGTAAAAAGCAAAAAATTTATGAAATATCGATGGAAAACCACAAAAATTAGGGCATTTACCCAAAATAGTTTGGGTTGAAAAATAAGTTTATCCTTGCAGTGTTTTCTAGTTGACTATTTATTACCTTTTTACACTAGAGCCACAGTCCCCCAGTTGCACTCACAACTACACACATTCATACACTGATACTCAGATCACTAGACCTAGGGGGATATAAACATTTAGCAGGAGAATGCTGGAATTCAACTAACAATTTTCAGGTTTCAGGGCCTCTATTGAAACACAAAAGTTCCTTCAGAGAAGGTGTGAGACCAGAATTAAGCCTGCTTGAGCAGGAGCATTATGGTATGGGAATGTTTCTATGTAGTACAGTAGCAGGCATTCAAAATTGCCCTTCTCTGTGAAAAGCCAGCCGAATGGCAGCCCACTTCCCTCCAACTTCCAGCGAAATCCCCTCCAACATCATCCAGGAGATGAAGCTTCTTTTTAGATCTTAATGTCCAGAAATCATGATAAAATATTTTCTTTGAAATATTGATGTTTAAAAAGGAATTGTAGGGGACCAGCTAAGGACCAGCCAGGGGCCCATCAAGGAAAGTGTGGAAATTTTGAATGGCTACTACTGCTTAGACAAATGCCACACTTTTCAGATTTTTATTAGAAAAAAAAAGGTGCAAACCCCTTTTAATCTTTCTTTACATTTATCTGTTACTTTGTGCTTGTCTTTCAAATAAAATCACAGTAAAACTAATCAGAAATTTCTTTTAATGATTTTTACTTGCCTAAATAAGCCACCAGAGTTCTTATAATTGAAAAACAAAATTTGCATTTAGCAGTTCAATACAGCAGCGTCTGTGTTTAAGAAATTTGAGGGCTGGTTGTTTCCTTGTGTTCTTACCTGGTTTCTTTGGTGTCCTGGTGAAGGTTCCTTTCATGGTTCTACAGTGGGTGTTGTCTCCACCACAAACACCACATTTGTCCTCAACTTTGTTGGAGCCGATTTCTCTGTCGCAGCCGACCTTCTGAAGAACGGAAAAAAAAAAAAAACAGGACAACGCTTGAAAATAAAAACTTAACCTCTCAAAAAGTTGGTTTTTTTAAAGTCCTCATTAGCTTCTGACTCAAATACTGCCAGTGGGGAATCAGAGGAAGAGAGGAAAAAGTCACAGTTTAAACAAATAAACAACTTTCAACTATTTTCATATTCAGCAGTTTTAAAATATGCCTGTTCAGCTTTCAATAATTGTGAAGCTCATCTAGTCATGGCAGTAATTAGTTAAAGGAGCTATGACAATAATTAATAAATTATTTGCTAATAGAATGTTTGCATTGTTGTTTTAAGCATGTCAGATAAATAGAAAATCAAATGAAGTTTGAACACAGCAGGACTTCAGACTACATTCATTTGTAGAACAAACTGTAGGACATTTTTTATTTTGATCTACTGAAAACTAATTCATGTTTAAAGCCATTTCCATTTTTTTTTTATTGTCACAGTCAGAAAATATGCCTTTGAAAGAATAGCTTCCTTGCTCATAAGATCTTGCATATAAGATTGAACCTGACACTGAATAAAAACTTTTACATATCATTTGTTGGGAGCTGGAGATATTCCACCTTTCTCCAGTAGAGTCCGCCGTGGATCCTCTGAGGGAGCCTCCTGCACAGCTGCAGCTCGTCAAGATCATCAGAGGATCCACTACTTAAGCTGTCTTCAGACCTTGCCTCAACGCCGCAGTGTTGTTCCAGTTGGTCAGCGCTTAAGCCTAGATCCTCAGAGTAATTCGATGACTTTTGAATCCAGCTTGGATTCTAATCCTTGTTTCTGTTTTTCCAGGAAACCTGTGCCTCCTCTGTGTAAGCTCAGGAAGAGCTAACCTGCCGAGCCGACCCTCAGAGCCAAACCTGAAGATTCACAGTGAACCTCCAAGCAGCTCTGGACTAGAGCTGGGAAACCCAAAGCCAAGGTCTGTTCAAATAAGACGTGAGACGCTGAAGCAGCAAACGGACTCTGCTGATGAATTCATCTCCAGAACCAACAGAGACTCTCCCAAAGCAAACCTCAAGAACCCTCAAGGTACAACCAGTAAACTTCAGGAAATCAAACCTCTGTTGGCAACGCTAACTGAACTGTCTCTCACGCAGACTCCGGTGAACCAGAATCCAGGCCCCGAACCCGAACCAGTGTATACTGTGTGCTTGTGCATAAATAAACTGTTAAACTTTCATCCTTGTGTCCGTCAGTGGTGTTCTGCATTCTTGGGTCGCTTTTAGTGAACCCATCATGACAGAACACTGCGGCCAAACTCAAGGCCCAGCAGATCACCTCACCCGTCGACTGGAGGAGCAGGATGCCCAAATTCAGGGACAAACCCAAACGCTCCGTGAGTTATACCGTCTAGTTGACACTCATAACCAGATGCTACAAATCTGTGCTAATTATCTGAACAGCGCAAATGCTGTACCACAACCATTTCCGGGTCCAGTTCCACCTCCGAGGTCACCTGCAGTGACGTCATCAGAGTTCCGTCCTAGTCTCCCAGAAAGATTTTCTGGTAACATGAAAGATTGCAAAGGATTTTTATTTCAATGTCGGTTGATTTTTCAGAACTCCCCTGGCTGTTTTTCCACGGATCACAAGAAGATAACTTTCATTCTCTCGCAGTTAACAGGAAGAGCCTTGGAATGGGCTCAGGCAAAATTTGCCGCTGACGATAGCTTAAACTGCTACTACTCTGATTTCATCTCTGAATTTATCCAGGTATTCATCCAAGAAACTGACCAAACTATTGATTCTAGAGCTCTTTTCAACCTTAAACAGGGAAACTCTTCGGTGGCTGAATTTTCCATTAACTTCCGGGTTAAAGCGGCAGCTTCCGGATGGAACCAAAGCGCTTTAAAGGGAGCCTTTTTCATGGCATTAAACGAGCACATAAAAGATGAGCTCGCAACCCTCGACGAACCTGCTACCCTCGAAGACTTAATTTGCCTCTCCATTAGATTGGATAATAGAATTCGTGCCAGAAACAGTTCAAAGAAGCAGGGTACACTTTCTTCTGCCTCACATAACGTGACTGTTTGTTCTTCATCTACAGAGCAGCCGCCCATTCAGAGGCCTAAGTCCCAGTCTCTACCTTTACCTGTTCAGGCCTCTCACTCGGGCGAAAGGGATGTCGAACCCATGCAGGTGGGACACACCAGGCTCACTCCAGAGGAGAGGCAAAGGCGTTTTCTAAACAAACTATGTATCTACTGTGGTGAGAGTGGACACTTCATCGCTTCCTGCCCGGCTAAATCAAAAGCCTGGGCCCGCCAGAGGATCTGAGGAGTCTGGCGGGCCAAATAAACTCTAAGAAATCTCCTCGACTGTTACTGCCTGCCACGCTTTTCTGTGCTAATCAGAGCCTCTCTTTCTCTGCATTCATCGACTCAGGCTGTGAACATAACCTAATCGATTCTAACCTCGTCCAGCAACTCCAAATTGAAACCATTCCTCTGTCTCAGCCTCTCAGTGTATCCGCTATTGACGGGAAAAGACTCCATCAAGTTACCCACCAAACTCAGCCCCTCGAGCTACTTCTGTCAGGTAACCACCAAGAGACTATAACATTTTTTGTTTTTCCCTCTGCATGTTCCCCGCTGGTGCTCGGTTTCGAATGGTTGGAGAAGCATAATCCTCACATTAACTGGACTGAACGTCACCTGGAATCATGGTCCATCTCTTGCCATGAGACATGCCTGCGTTCTGCTGCCCCCTTGGTGGGGTCTCCTAGAGGTGGGGGGGAGATGGACTCTCCTGACCTTTCTTCAGTTCCTTCTGAGTACCATGACCTAGCCCCTGTCTTCAGTAAGGTCAGTGCGACGTCCCTACCTCCACACAGACCATACGATTGCGCCATTGAACTTTTACCTGGTGCTCCTTTACCTAGCAGCAGATTGTATAATATTTCCAAGCCCGAGAGAGAAACAATGGAAAAATACATCAACGAATCATTAGCTGCTGGAATAATTCGCCCTTCATCCTCTCCATTGGGCGCCGGATTCTTCTTCGTGGGGAAGAAGGATGGTTCCCTGAGACCTTGTATCGACTATCGAGGTTTGAATCAGATCACTATTAAAAACAAATACCCACTGCCTCTCCTTTCCTCTGCTTTTGAGCCCGTACAGGGAGCTACTGTGTTTTCTAAACTGGATTTAAGAAACGCTTATCATCTCCTTAGGATCCGTGAAGGCGACGAATGGAAAACTGCCTTCAAAACACCCTTGGGCCAATTCGAATATCTTGTTATGCCCTTTGGTCTCACTAACGCTCCAGCCTGCTTCCAGGCCCTCGTAAACGATATTCTAAGAGACTTTCTCAACGTATTTGTTTTCGTGTACATTGATGATATACTCTTTTACTCCAAGAACCTCGATGAACACAAGAAACATGTCCGTCTTGTTTTACAGAGACTGCTGGAAAACAAACTGTTCGTGAAAGCCGAGAAGTGCGAATTTCATCAACCTTCAGTCACCTTTTTGGGGTTTGTGCTCGAGGGCGGCCAGGTTAAACCATCTGAGGACAAGATTAAGGCAGTTTTAGACTGGCCAGTTCCAGAGAACCGCAAACAGCTACAAAGGTTTTTGGGTTTTGCTAACTTCTATCGTCGGTTTATCAGAAACTACAGCCAGACCGCCCTTCCATTAACTTCTCTGACCTCTGTCAAACGCAATTTTCAGTGGACTCCCGAGGCTCAAGCAGCGTTTGAAAAACTAAAGTCATTATTTTCCAGAGCACCAGTCCTTATGCAACCTGACCCAGCTAAGCAGTTTATCCTTGAGGTGGATGCTTCAGATTCCGGTGTTGGAGCAGTCCTTTCCCAGAGACTCGACTCAGATCAAAAGATACACCCTTGTGCTTTCTTCTCCCGTAGACTTTCTTCTGCAGAGCAAAATTATGATGTGGGTGACCGAGAGCTTCTGGCCATTAAACTGGCATTGGAGGAATGGAGGCATTGGCTGGAGGGAGCTGAGCACCCGGTTCTTGTATGGACAGACCACAAGAACCTGGCTTACATCCAGTCAACCAAGCAAGCGAATCCACGCCAATCCAGGTGGTCAATTTTCTTTTCTCGGTTCAATCTCATCATCTCCTACAGACCCGGATCCAAGAACGTGAAGCCCGATTCTCTCTCTCGTCTCTACTCCGTCGATCATCCCGAGACACCTGAACCTGTTCTTCCGGCTTCCTGCACAGTGGGAGTGGTCAACTGGGAGATAACTGACCTCATCAACTCAGCCCTGGCCACTGAACCCGATCCAGGTAACGGTCCCACTAACCGAACCTATGTTCCATCTTCCGTCAGGTCCCGTCTCATCCAGTGGATGCATGCCGCCAAATTCTCCGCTCATCCAGGTGTCAGTAGAACTGTTGCTCTCATTTCAAGATGCTTTTGGTCGCCCACTCTCCACAGGGACGTAAAGGAGTATGTGTTGGCTTGCCCCACATGTGCCCGTAACAAAGCCTCACACCAACCTCCTTCTGGCCTGCTTCAACTGCTTCCTGTTCCCTCGCGTCCTTGGTCCCATATCGCCATTGATTTCGTCACCGGTCTCCCTGTCTCTCGAGGTATGTCCACCATATTCACCATTGTTGACCGTGTCTCGAAGTCCTGCCATCTTATTCCCCTCAGAAAACTTCCCACGGCCTTCCAGACAGCCCAGCTACTCATCAAGCATGTTTTCCGGTTACACGGCATTCCCCAAGAGATCCTCTCGGACAGAGGTCCTCAATTCATCTCCCAGGTCTGGAGGGCTTTCTGTTCTGCTCTCGGCTGCAAACCCTCTCTCACCTCTGGTTACCACCCCCAATCGAATGGTCAGACTGAGCGTATGAATCAGCAATTGGAATCCAGCCTTCGCTGCCTCACGTCAAACAACCCCGTGGACTGGAGCCAATTTCTCCCATGGATAGAATACGCTCATAACTCCCTCAGATCTGCATCCACTGGACAATCCCCATTTCAGGTCAGTCTTGGCTATCAACCACCTCTTTTTCCCGCAGACGAGAGAGAGATTTCGGTGCAGTCCGTCAACCAACACATCCGCCGTTGTCAAAGGATCTGGAGGGAAACCATCGCCACTCTCAACCAGTCTTCTGAGTCAATTAAACGCTTCGCTGACGCCAGGAGACGTCCCGCCCCCGAGTATACTGAAGGCCAGGAGGTATGGCTGTCCACTCGAGACATTCCCCTCAAGGGGATGTCTCGGAAATTCTCTCCTAGATTCATCGGACCCTACAAGATCACTCGAGTCATCAACCCCTCAGCCGTCCGTCTCCAATTACCTCAGTCCCTCCGAATCCACCCCACCTTCCACGTGTCTCAGATCAAGCCTGTCTCCTCGAGCCCTCTGTGCCCACCGTCCGACTCCCCACCACCCGCCCTGGAGGTCGATGGTCATCCGGCCTTCACGGTTCGCCCTATCGTGGACTCCCGTCGGCGAGGTCGCGGATGGCAGTACCTCGTCGACTGGGAGGGCTACGGACCGGAGGATCGCCAGTGGGTTCCAGGCTCGTACATCCTTGATCCAGCCCTTATCGAGGAGTACGAGCGTTCCTGCCCATCAACCTCTTCCGGACCGCCAAGGGGCGGTCGTTGAGGGGGGGGTACTGTTGGGAGCTGGAGATATTCCACCTTTCTCCAGCAGAGTCCGCCGTGGATCCTCTGAGGGAGCCTCCTGCACAGCTGCAGCTCGTCAAGATCATCAGAGGATCCACTACTAAAGCTGTCTTCAGACCTTGCCTCAACGCCGCAGTGTTGTTCCAGTTGGTCAGCGCTTAAGCCTAGATCCTCAGAGTAATTCGATGACTTTTGAATCCAGCTTGGATTCTAATCCTTGTTTCTGTTTTTCCAGGAAACCTGTGCCTCCTCTGTGTAAGCTCAGGAAGAGCTAACCTGCCGAGCCGACCCTCAGAGCCAAACCTGAAGATTCACAGTGAACCTCCAAGCAGCTCTGGACTAGAGCTGGGAAACCCAAAGCCAAGGTCTGTTCAAATAAGACGTGAGACGCTGAAGCAGCAAACGGACTCTGCTGATGAATTCATCTCCAGAACCAACAGAGACTCTCCCAAAGCTAACCTCAAGAACCCTCAAGGTAAAACCAGTAAACTTCAGGAAATCAAACCTCTGTTGGCAACGCTAACTGAACTGTCTCTCACGCAGACTCCGGTGAACCAGAATCCAGGCCCCGAACCCGAACCAGTGTATACTGTGTGCTTGTGCATAAATAAACTGTTAAAATTTCATCCTTGTGTCCGTCAGTGGTGTTCTGCATTCTTGGGTCGCTTTTAGTGAACCCATCATGACATCATTATCCTTCAGTACTCTGACCGATTCACAGAACCTATTAGAAATATTCACTTTCAGAAGTTATGACTCGAGTCCAATGTATGTAATTGAGATTTTATAAAACAGAAAAGATCATCAGAAAGTCATACAGCAATGCAGTGGTGTTCACTATTAATAAATCAAACATAAAGTGGAAATGAAACGGTTAACCAAACTAACTAAATTAATGAGATTGTGTCTTACTATTAGACACAATATAACAGTGAAAAATATAAATGTAAAAAGAAAACATTTAGTATTTTTTGATACTTTCCAAAGGTACCGTCACATTGCAGTAAACCAAACGGTGATGTCAGTGGGTTTGTTCGCTCTGAGGTTTCGCTTGTATTTCCAGTTGAATTTATTGGTAATACCAGTGATTAAACACAACTGTAAAACACTTAAGAATTTTTTTATGATGGGAGACAAAGCTAAAAGGACACTCTAGTGTCTGAATCAGATTGCTTACTGTATGCTTTTAAGTCCATGGGGCGTATGAGTTGAGCTGTAGTAAGGGAAAAACAGCAGCTGCGGCTGTGATATTATAATCTTCTGGCTATCTGTCCTACCTGATGATTCATCCTATCTTGTAGCAAAGCAGAGAGCAAACTGATGGCACGTCACAGGTTGCAGATAGAGAACGCTATGTGGTTGCGCTTAGGTGGGATATCTGACATCGGTACATGTGTTTTGGAAGGTGCATGCTGGCAATGCTACCTGTTGTAGCTGCTGTTCAACGATGCCCACGATAATTGAGTCAATCTGCTATTATAATGTCAATGCAACATGGCAGTGCCTGTGCCAAAAATGTACGTTTTTTTTCTTTTACATGTATATTTTTCAAGTTTATAATATAATTATTGAAAATAGCAAGAAATAATCTTGTCAATTAAGTTAGTTTTATTCATCGATTCATTCCCACTTTAAATAGGATGGTGCACATTTGTTTTAAGGCCTTGGGAGAATTACCGTGGGCTACAGTTACAGCACTAAGCTTGTGATATATGTTACTCAAGTTTTACATATTTACCTACTAAAAGTTAATCTTTTTCTTTGTAAAATAACGCAGCCCAAGTCAGAGAGGATGGAGATCTTGTTTTCATATTTCATGTTTATAAAGCACATATTTTTGAACTGCAAAACTAATACAGTAGTAGCCATTCAAGATTTCACCACTTTCCTTGATGGGCCCTTAGCTGGCCTGGTCCTCTACAATTTCTTTTTAAACATCAATCTTTGTACTTAAATATTCTTTCTGTTATGATTTGTGGACATTAAGATCAAAAGAGAAGCATATCTCACAGTCAGACACTGTAATTCAGTGAAAGGTTGGAGTCAGAGTAAAAAAAATATGCTCGCCCAAAGGAGTCCACTGGGTGGAAGCTGGAGGGGATTTCGCTGGCAGTTGGATGGAGTTCGTCCGGCATTTGAATGGGAAGGGCCCTTTTGAATGGCTGCTACTGTAGTTGCTCTATGTCCAGAAACTTTAACCTTGGCAGTGGATAGCTGCAGCTCCACCAGTGTTGCCATGGACACCTTAGCTGCAGTTTATGCAAAAGCTTCTGTTCTGTTTAAAATGATAATGTTCACATATTTATACCATTCCTTGGCCAGTTTAGATGGATGACTCTAATTTAGTAGGTTTGCAGTTCTGCTACGAGATCTGCAAAAAATATAAAATTATTCACTTAGAAAAGATTTCGAAGTTCTGGAATATTGCTTTATAACCTAAACCTAAATCTGCTAAAACTATTAACTACCAGACTGCATTCTGAAAGGTATTAGTTGCACCCTATTATTTTTAGATTTATCAGGGTAAAGTGGGTTTACAGACACACTATGTTTTCCTACTTAACTAAACTACAGTATGTTCTTTTAACTCACCACGCATTCTCCACGCACGCAGATACTGTAGGCATCTTTGTATGAGCATCGTGTCCCATCATGCACCAGCTGCTTCATGTATGCCACGTCTGAGGTCTCCTTCGACTGACAGTACAGGTGGCATCTTTTATTAGCTAGGAGGACAGAGCATTGGATTAAAATATAAGTTAAAAATATCTGCTGGTGTTGCTGCAGCTGCTGTCATGTTTGATTCCCCCTACAGTATGCCCTCTGAATAAGGGCGACTGGTAAATATATTAAAAATTTTCAAAAGAGAAATTAACATTCTACAAAGCAGTGATAGAAAAGGTCTGCTTGAGAGTACAGAACAAACAACAGGGAGCTGGCAAAACACATGCTGATAAGGCAATTCGCTCTAAGTTTCACCCAGTCTTTTAACCAAACACACCATGCTGGGTTAAATACAATGTTGAGTATTTGTAAGATTAATCAGCTCAGAGTTGTGAACTGTAACACATTCTAGGCATGTTTTATTAAAGTACTTAAAGGAATAGTACACCCAAAACATGATTAGCCTTCATTTTCTACTCACCTCCATGCTGAACAACACTCTGGAGTACTTTTTTGATATCTCAAATGCATCTGGAGATCTGGGAGACTTCTTGCTGTCTGCTGACATTCAAATAATGGAGGTCTATGGCGCCCGAGACAGAAAGGTCCACAAAAGTCCACAAAAACTTGTCAATATTCCTCCATACTGCTCGTCCAATGTAATCCAAGTGTCCTGAGTGGGTAGCATCCAGAATTTACTCGAAACGAAGTCATTTAGAACGTTTTAGAGCCTAAACAGTAGTGTATAGGATTTCCTAATAGCGCCCCCATGCGCGCTCACGATTCTACGGAAGCCGGCAGACCAAACCAGCGCATTCAGCTCGGCAAAGAACTCATGCTCTTCCTCAACACTGAAGTCCTCAGACATTTTTCTTTCGTTGTTTCTTTCTTTGCACAGGTAAACAGCACATTTCTTCTTCTACGCTTGCATTATCGGCAGACCAGACGCTGAATGCGCACTTCCTTCCGGTTTGGTCTGCCGGCTTCCGTAGAATCGTGAGCGCGCATGGGGGCGCTATTAGGAAATCCTATACACTACTGTTTATGCTCTAAAAACATTCTAAATTACTTCGTTTCGAGTAAATTCTGGATGCTACCCACTCAGGACACTTGGATTACATTGGACGAGCAGTATGGAGGAATATTGACACGTTTTTGTGGACTTTTATGGACCTTTCTGTCTCGGGCGCCATGGACCTCCATTATTTGAATGTCAGCAGACAGCAAGAAGCCTCCCAGATCTCCAGATGCATTTGAGATATCAAAAAAGTACTCCAGAGTGTTGTTCAGCATGGAGGTGAGTAGAAAATGAAGGCTAATCATGTTTTGGGTGTACTATTCCTTTAACAGATTTTACACAAAAAAAAGTTGAAGAAGATTGAAGAAAATTGAATTTAGTGATTCCCAACCCAGGGGATCAGCGTCTCAGGGGGTTCACTACACAGAGCTAAAAGTGGGATTTTCTCACATATGTATTAGACACTGACATGTTTTACATATATACAAAATAATATCATACACTGAGTCCATTTAAAACTTCAATTGCATCACATATTAGTAATTTTATGGGATTAACTGCCTCTTCACACTGTGTTTAACATCAGAGGTGTCAAAAGTATTAATGTTTATTGCTCAAGTAGAAGAATAACTCTGTATAGAATAACTGTTTTAAAACTAAAACAATGCTTTGTTTGGCTACTGTATAAAACCTTGAAGTCAACGCTATTCCTGACATTTTGAATTAAAAAAACTTCCTGGATGGGAAGCAAAACATCTTCAAACATGGAAACAAAGTCCAGTGGATTGTTTTTCTTTTTTTTTTTTTTTGGAATGACTATAACCTGGATGACTGAGAACCTTCACCAGTATATTTTATGGATGATAACTTCCTTATACCTAATTTTCTTAGTTTTATAACTAAAGGTGCAGTGTCAAATTTCACTTTTTATCATCTTGAAAGTAGTGAACAGCAAGTTGCACAGCACAGTCAAACTACAAAGAAATTAATTGTCAGGATAATATATATATATATATATATATATATATATATATATATCCTCTTATAGAGTATGGTAAAGTGCAGGACACTTAAATGAGCTTGCATTCAGCAGTCTGCTATAAAAGGTGGAGGAGGGGCTGCTGTATTTTATTCTGTTTCATACGGACGTAGAAACTACTGTCCTTTGAACCTTCTTTGACCTGTTGTTTTAATGTAAAATGGTACAGCAGAGAACTTAAGCAGCTATGAAATCATTATCTCCTAAAGCCTTGATATGGCTTAAAGCAGTAATCAGCCCATGTATAGTCACTTATCAGATTTAGGGCCGGATCTATCAAAGGTTTGCGTGTATAAAAACGTGAGCTATTTCACTGCGCACGCTAAAAAATGTACAAACTGATCTATCAACAGCGTGCTAAAAGGATTTGGTCTTTAAAACGTGCTAAATAGCGCCTCTTTTCAGAAATAGCGTACTTTTTCTGCAATGAATATGCAATATGGGGCATTTACACGCAAAAGTGCGTCTTGTGGGAGGAGAACATATAAATATATTAATTTAACACTCGCAAAGTGATTTATTAAACCTGAAAGCAATTTTGCTAACGGTATCTGACTATATTTAACACGTTTCAAAAGAAGGTGCAAATGGTCTGTATGCGTAATTGCGCACACATGGCAGCGGTTATTGTCGCAAGAAGGATACATCGAAATGAAGCAAGGAGACGGAGAGAACGCATTTTTTCACTCCGTGTGAATATTTTTGGAATGAACGAGGAAACGATCATCAAAACATATCGTTTATCCAGCATTGCCATTTTGGAGCTGCAATTCCAGTGATTTGCTCCTCACAGAGCGTCAGCTGTACTTGTTCCTCAATGCTGGTCAGAGGCACCTCATCTACTGTGCCCCCTCCTCTTTTGTTAGCAGATGTTTTGTTATATGCCAGTTTTTCTTTGGTTCGCCTTCTAATATCCTGGTATCTTCTTTTAACTTCATCCACTGTTCGCAAGGTTTCACCAACAGCGTTTACTTTATTACAGATTTGTTCACATATAGCGTTCCTCTGTGTGACAGTCACACTTCTTTGCTGTAGCTCACTTAAATGTTTGTTGGCTTCATCCACCAATACCTCCATTTCCATGGGGTCGAATTTCCTTTTGCGCCTTCTGCTGTCCAAACTCGCCATGCCCCAAACCACAAAACGCGCAAAACCATCATTTAAATAGGATGTCTCCAACAGTTTTGCACCTGCCACCAGTTACGCAATCGCTCTTGTTAAATCACCCGCAAACCATGGTTCAGCCCCTCGCGCAGAATTCCAGTTTGCGAGCGCAAATTACTGCACGCAAAATTGGATCTTGATAAATCCGGCCCTTAGAGTATTATTTGGGAAATGAAATAACTGAGTAGAAAATTAAACCCAATGTTTCTTTTAGAGAAATGCTGTACACTGAAGAAATGCAAACTTGTGATGAATTCATCAGTTTTCAAGCTGAGTGAAAATAAAATGTCAAGCAGAATGATAAAAAAATTGAATCATCAAAGGAAAAGCTGATGTGAACAGACTGACTTATCTGGGTTGATCTATATTCAGAATTACAAGCACATTGAAGGATTCATCTGGTTTTGACTAACAAGCTCCTACAAGCTGCTACCTGCTGAGCTCTGATCCCTGAAACAGCAACGTGAATGTTACCTACAACATGACCAGGACACAAAACATTAAAAAACCCTAAACTTTAATGTTCAAAAATTTTAAGAGAAAAAAATAACAAATAAATGCAGTTGTGGTAAAAAAAAAAAACCCCAAAAAACTCTCATGCCATGGGGTGAAAAATTTAAGCTGAAAACCAATCAACTTCCCTTCATCGAATCACAAACACTGCTTCATTCAGTAAATTTTTTATTTTTGCATGCTCAACTATAAACTAAACAGACACATTTATAAATACATTTTAATAGGCATTTCGAATAGTTTAATTTCTTAGGAAATTTGATCTATAAATAATTGTAGATCTGGGGTCTAAAAAGACACAAGTTTGTTCCAATCAGAAATAAAAGCAAGTCTATTTTATATTAATATAACAATAGTTTATATAATATTTTTATAGATTATTTGTGTGTAATCGGCAAGAACTGCAAATGCAGGATCATTCTTGCTTCATTCAGCCAGGTTTAACAAAAGGCGTTTGTAGTTATAGCTAAAATTATTTCAAATTAAAAGGAAACAAAAAAGTCAATAAACATTACCTTAAGGTTGCATTTTAATAAAATATATTTTTGTGTTCTTTTTAAAGTCTTTATCACCAGGAGGAATTCCACATATCTTTTGTTTATACGTGTGTATCCTTATGACCTACCTGAGCCGATCTAGGCCATTTTTGAGCTGTGGTTGAGGGTCACAATCATTCCAATGGCTGGAAATAGCCTCTGGGCCACCAAAGGACACCCATGCACTAAGCCTTTACATTTGTTTAAGTAAACCTAAAACTATTTTACAAGAAAAATCCCTTGCATCTTTCTCAGTTTCCTCCAATGTGAGATTATATCTTCTGCATAACATAGTACATTCTCTGTCTTGCAGGGAAACTGTTAATTTTCAGTTAAAAAATAGGCAGATTTATAAAGTTAGTGCTGTTTTTCTGAAAAAGGTTTGATCTCCTAAGAGTTGATAGTAGCTGTGATGCAATAGAAAAGCAAATAAAAGTAACCTGCTGCAACTCTGAGGCATGTCAAGAGACACATGATTTCAAGTTTCTTCTGTAGTCTCAATCTTCAAAAAAAAAAGAAAAAGGTTGGTTTTCTTTTTCCTATGAGGCCTTACACGTGAGAAGGATGTTCAACACATTCTTACATGATGTAGAGCAGCAGAGCTGGGCAGCTCTGTACTCATCACATGGTAAATCATGCTTTTCTGAATAATTTTAACTTTGGTATAGTTCTAAAGGATACCTCAGCCCATGCAGTCAGAAGAAATTTTGCAGATACAGTGTGTCGTTGTGGACTGATCACTAAGAACTCATAGGTTAAGGGTCTCTATCGTTTACTTGGGGAAAACTAGGT